TTCAGCAATGATTCCATGCTACATAATTTTTGTATTATCAGAATCATTTGTTCCAGATATTAGCAATCAAAATTTTTGCTCATGTATTTCATGATAAAGTTTCTGATGAAAACAAAGATGATTACTAGATGTCGTTTTTTAAATGCCAAAACAATTTTAAAGAAGTCTTGCAGGCTAAATCCCCTTAATCACATCATATGTACTCTATATATTGTATGTATAGTCAATAAATCTCAACGGAATTCTCCAACTTTCAGTTTGAACCAACGATCACAAATTATTTTCCAAAACCGACAGTTATGATTAGTTAACAACCCTATAAAATACACAATCCATATAGTACGTATTTTGGTCAAAGACAATTTATATGGCAACTGAAATAATTGGTTGACCCGTTTATCCGCTTATTGTCTTCTTTGGCATGGAAGTTTCCGGTTGGGGTTGGTGACTATTGTTCGACTGTTGCGGTTTGTATGTCATCAATCTAGGCTTTAGCTGGTGGCTTTGGTAAGTTTTAGAGCGGCCACGGTTCTCACTTATGAAAATTGCACCTCTTAGTAGTCTTTTAGCCTATTAACTCAGATGAGAATAGATGTATGTTATATAGTTTGGAAACCCCAAAACCTCAATATTGTTTAATGAATGCAATAAAATTTAAAACAAAAAAAAAACAAGAAAACATAGAAAGTTGGTTTTAAAATTTATTCAAAATCGCACAGCAAATACAATTATAAAATTACCTGCTGTCTCAAATTAAAAATAATATAAAAATTTAATATTTTCTTACCCATTGGCATTATTTGTGGCTTTTGTTCATTTTCGGATTTGGTTCGGTTGTGTTTGTTCGTTTTAGTAATTGGTTCGGCTCGAATTCCGACAAAGATTCTGAATGAATTGTGCTTATTTTATTGATTAGTTGGTCCGAACTCTAATCTCTATGATGCTAGAGCAGTACAAGCGGTCAAGTTCCTTAAGTTTGATGTAAGGGTCTCTTCGAATCGTAAATCAATTAAGAAAAGTAAAAGAGAATCTCAACAAAGTAAAGACATAACCAAGAGAAGTGTTACAGAAGAAAAAGAAGAATTTCCTCAAGTTGATGACTTTTCAAATTCAAAGGACTCCATTGATGATGTTGTTGTTGCTCCTCCTCGAGACAAACTGCTTCAAGCCTGTACTAACTATTTAATCAACTCAATCCTTTTATTCACAAGCTCCCAAAAGCGAAACAAACTCCCTTGTACTAACTGTTTAATCAACTCAATCCTTTTGTTCACAAGCTCCCAAAAGTGAAACAAACTCAAACAAACTCCCTAAACCCTCCTTGACCAGTAACAAAAATCAAACCAAAAGAAATACTTAATCAACTCAATCCAAACAGTAACAATTAAACCATACGCACATTTATCTATATGATCAACCATATCTTCAACTGTTTTGAAAACCTTGGAGCACTTAGGACACATCTCCTTTTCTCCCATATCCTTTTCAATCTAAAGTCAGAAACACAAACACAAAAAACAAATTTTTATGAGTAACTGTATGAATCAATGTATTTGACTTACAAATACAACAAAATTGTATTAGTTACCTCAATGTGGACTCCAAAATGACTACTAAAAGATCTTCCACGAAACCAATTCTGTGGTTTTGGTTTTTCTTCATGCACGCAGTGTCGATTATAGCAGGAAGTTACAATCTTATAGGGACATTGTATCCAAGTCATATTCCATCATTACTTCCAAAACAATATACGCCAAATGATTAGTAACAACCAGATTCCATGGAGTGCCCCTCCAAACTGGATTACCATTCATCATGTTACTAAACCTACATTTTTCAACACCCTTGATTTTGCATTTGCATCCATCTGTAACCAAAATAACCCTCAAACCTAAGTTTTTGAGCCTTGTCATGGTAAAGTTGTAATCGTAGTCTCCTGTGAACACAATTATGGTTTTTCCTAGATTTGGTGTTTCACCATTCATATGTGCCTTAAACAACTCCATTTGCCTACTCGTAGCCAACGGAATCAAATGCCTCGTATTGATACCGCTTGCTTCGGAATGTCACTCTTTTTCCAAACACAATATGCTATACATTTCTTATCAACTAAAATTATCATTAATTCTGAAGGCAAGTCTAGATGTGTTTCCAGATATGTTATTGACCTGTTTTGGTTGTTTTCAAACAAAGCAGGTTCGAGGTTAGCACGTTCAAGGTGAGCAACAACAACATACAGATGAATGGCATCATAGATCCCTAAAACTGTTAGGGCATTTCTTAATCTTTCTAACACCATGTCAACAGAAATGGTATGATGAATACCCATATTTTCAATATCCCAATCTGCTAAGATGCTATCTTCTTCATCATGCCATTGCCATTGAGGAATCTTATCTTCTTCTTCCATGATTCTTCCAATGTCGATAATCTTTTTTGTTCTTCAATCTCTTCAATCTGTTCAAAATCTTGGA